ACAACAACAAATCATTCAATTACAGTAACAAAATAGAGCGAGAACATACACCAAGTCCACCACAACAACAACAACAACGACAACAACAACAACACGGGCATGCAGCTTGCACACATCTTTAAGAATCTGCGTTTGCATCTAATGCCCCCCCCCATGTCTGCCTCGGTGGGTTCACTGGGGCCTGGCGTCGGTGGACCGACGCGTTTCGTCACTGGAGCTCGAGCCGTATGGGTTTCGAACATGACCAAAGTCTGGCCGATTTGTACCAGTCTGCAGCTGAGACACACTCATGGTTGGAAGATCACATGGAACCTGAATGAATGGACCTTTGGAAGGCCAAATCCTCTATATACGACCCAGTGGTTTTCAGGTTCCATGCTAATCTTCCAGAGCGGAGGTAGTTTTGGCCTTGGCTGAGAGTCGATCCTCTTGTTCGCCACACCGGTAGAAATGCTTGCCGCAACCCCATCCTGGGTTTTAGTGGACAGTCATGATGGTCACTGGAGACCTCCACTTGAAAAAGAGAATGCACAGGATATCTGCTGATCCTACTCCTACTGCTACAAGAAATCGCCGATGGATTTCACAAGCTGAACCCGATTTTACCACAGCGGTTTTCCTTAAAAATTACTCCCCTGCAGATTAACGTGAGTAAGCATGGAAGCAAACCCATGTCAGTCCGGATCCGAAGTCTTCACTGGTCCATTTGGTGAGCATGTCTCCCAGCCGACCGTGGCCATGTCCATGTTCGAACGTCTGGCGCTCGCACAACGAATAGGGGTGGCTGTCTCCATGCTCTAGGGTTGGCCATGGCCATGTCATGTTACTGTCTGTTTTTCAGAAAAGCTGTTGGTCCTACTCCGAAGTGCATTAAAATTCCAACGTCTGCTCCGCCTGCCAAGAAATTGGCATCAACACCACGTTCAGCGGCTGCCATATATCGATGAATGAGGAGAAAATGGGTTCTAAACTGGAAGTCCAATGGAAGTGATCGGACATGCAGTCCCGTTGTCAGGCCTCAATGTGAGAAGGTATGCTGCCTGCGCTGCGACCGCTTGGTATATTTACTGGAACCGTGAGGCGGCCATTCACCCCTCCCCAATTCCAAGGGTTTTGGTATTCGGCCACGGTGATGACTTGGTTTACCTGGGGTAGGACCAAGGACGCTACTAGGGGCTCCTGGCCTTACTACTAGGAACAAGAAGCTACTCGAAACAAGAAGCTACTAGGAGCTTATCCACCATGACTTCTTTACTCCATGAGGGTGTCGGTGCTCATCCAAGCGCATGGCTTGCATCTGGATCAGAATGTCATCATGTGCATGTCGCAAAGCGTCCAAGAAATTGCCAAGAAACGACAAACATGTTGATTCCCCAAAGCCCTGTGCACTTGTCTGATTGTTTCGAGAGTATGGTTACCCCCATGGCAGCTTTACTACTATTATGGACTGGAGGTCTCTTCTCCTGAAAGTGGTCAAATCTACGATTGTTGCCTCAGCAACAGTAAAATACGGTATCCTTATCTTGTCACATGAGGGTTTTAGCATGTCCTTGGCCTCAAAGGCCGGTTGGAATGAGTGAGGGTGAAGAACCATCTTGTGGCACCAGCAATCTTTGGACCAGCAAAATTGCTTGTCCGGTCCTTTCCGCTCACCAGCCTGAGTGGGCAGGGATTATCGCACTCTCAGCAGGAAGCATGACCAAAACATGAAGCACATGAAGGGCCAGGGACACAAGCTTGCAGCACTCTCACCCCCAAATAAGAAACTGCTGGCTTGGATGGTGAGATGTAGTGAGTCGTCGTGATGTAGTGGGTAGGAATTGCTGTGGCTTCAATATCCATGTTGGCCATGTTGGCCGCATGAACCCTGCAAAGCCTTTCAACGGCATGCCTGTTCCAAAGCCAAAGCCCTCCACAATCATCAGATTTGCTGCTAGCGCCATGACTGAGAAACACATGGTGACTTAAGCTTCTGAGCCTGGCAAGGATCGGTGCGTAAGTGGTGAAACCGTCCAGTGGCAAACTTGTAAGCAAAACATCCCGATCCAATCCAATTGCGTCTAAAGTCTAGAGTCTCAATCATTTGAACATCATAAGTTGTCCATAAAAAGCCAAGTTGCAACCAAAAAGTGGGTCAGTTTATGTCAGTTTTCACAAGTGCATTACATCATTCATCATCAAAGAAGAATATAAAACATGAAAACAACTCACCGGCAGCGTGTATGTTGGTGTCGAGGCAAACGTTCTCGTTCCCAAACACGGTGAAAAAAGGGTCTGGGTCCGGGTCAATATATATATATATATATCCATCGCCTTCTCGAAGAGTTCAGCCCAGCTATATATGTATTCATTTATTTATGATGTATATAATGTAACATAACTATATGTATTTATATGCAAATCTATATATATATATATATGAATTCAGGGTGAAATAGCCTGAGTACAATTGGCAATCGGATGCAATCGGTACAATTGTGCTCAAGCTTTTGCACACTCTGAATATATATGTGACGTGCCACAACATTGCAACATTGCTTCTTGTCCACCAATGAACACTTCAGTTCCCGATGGATGAATGATGATGAATGTAGTTCAGGAATTCTCATGCATCAACAAAGGGCGGCCTACCAAGAGCAGCAACGACACCGTTTAGCTGAACAATGAGAGACGAGAGAATAAAAGAAACTGCATCTACGTCCACAATGACATCACCAAACTGAGACTCGGGAAGGTCCATGATGCCTATGAACGTGACAGCTCTACAAACCCGTTCTCAAACCGGTTCAACCAAGTTCTTTTTCATGCAATATCCGTGGTCTGCCGCAAATGCGAGAGCCAAACATGTGTATCACAAGTCTGTTGGAAAACCTCCATGTCTCAAGGTCGACTGCAACGACATTGAAAACATCGTCAACACCATGCTTTTCATTGGGAAACACGTGCAAGTTCTTGCTTGCAACCTGTGTAATTCACACAGTGAAACGACCGTGATTACCATTCAAGAGAACGACCGCACGGATTGCCCGGAGCACTGCGGCAACCCATTAGACAACCAAAAACAAATGGTGCTCACTCCATGGGCTCTTCACTGTGAGACCTCAAATAACGAAAACCGGTTGATTCCTGTAATGGTTCAATGGTGGAGGCGAAGGCCCCGCACCACGCAAACATCCAAGGCCATCCACACCAGGACCTGGGCTCACCCAGGTCATGGCGAGTTGGGACGCCTACAGAGCGATGGACATGTCCAAGCAACCGAGTTGGCCTGGTAGGCCCTTCTTCAGATTGCACTGAACATTGCCACAAAAAAGGTGTTGATTCACAGGAACTGTAACAATGCTGATTCTAATCATGTTCAGCAAGGGACATAGCCACACTGTGCCGGAGAGTAGGTAAATTCTATATACAGTATAGCGGCTAGCGTATACACATGCAATTGGTCGCTGCGTCGTGATATGCTGTGTTATGCAGCAGCTGAAGCACCCTACTACATCATTCAAACTCTAGCAAAGTCCCCAAAGGCCAAATGAATTAAGCTGCCATCCTTCTCAATCTTCTCAATTTTTCGGTGCTCAGGTTGAACTCTGTCTTTTCACTTTTCACTGTTCAGGGATTCGGGAAGAAAATGGAAGATCTGGGTAACCCATCTCCAATGGGCTACAGCCACGAGTGCCCTTTTCTTCTGGGTGTTCGCTCATTACGCGCGTCCAAGGCTTTCGGATCACGAGCCATGATGTCTTCCGGGCGCGGAATGCCATGTCTTTCGCAGGTGGCACATTTTCAATTCTAGGTCTAAGTGCAGCATGTGCTCCAAACATATCATGTTAAACGACTATAGTAATCGATATAACTACTTTGAGGGCTTCATTTGGCATGACCACTTGGCCTAGCTGGCCGAGGATCTTGTGCAGCCACTGACCTTCCAAAAGGCTCCTCCCACTCGGGAAGACATGACATCAACAGGGAAGCGCCACGACTCTCAAGTGAACCCCCTTCACTGAAGCCTGGCGAGGGCGCAACGTGAAGGACTACCAAACCGGCATGAGGGAGGTCTCTTGGCATGACAACAGGTGGAGAAATCTTCTCGTGCTGACTTGGTGAAGCTAAAGGTAAGCGATATCTTGCAGGTCAGCCAACTCATGATCTGGCAAGATCGCCAACAACGGTCAATCCAAAGCCATCTCAAGACCATGTGTCTCTCTCTCTATCTTTTCTCGCCTTGGACGCATGACCTTCACCGTCTCCCGTGACCTTCGGTGACCTTGGTGGGATCCACCGTGCGCTGACGTGACAAATAGCCTTCTCGGGTGCAACCAGGTGCTGTGGCCCGGCCCAATCTGTAAATCAACCACTCAAATCAGGACTTCAAGTGCGAAGTGCTGGGTTTTTGTAAGCCAACACCAACCACAGAATTCCATCTAAATGCCCTTGCCAAATCTGGCCAGTTCAGCTGGGGTCTCCGGATGGTGGATCTCTCCATGACCAGTGTCAACTGCAGAAGTTGAGCAGCATGCCATTTTGTGTGGACAAAAGAGCAATTGGTCTGATAGAAGGAACACCGCAATTGAAATTCTTTTCTATACTGCGCCTGCGCAATCGTGCAAATGACTGTTGAAAGGTAAAAGCCGAAGCTGCCGACCCCCGTTCCAATGTTAATGCTTCAGGGTCACAACGTCATGTTAACGGTCAATGCTTCGACCCCAATCGTGCGAGCCGCGCAACTGACCCCCGCCAAACCCTGATGCACATCAGCAGCCTGTTTTGATGTTCGATCGCAAGTTTTTCAGAAACCGGCGCTCCATTAAGCCACGCCAGGCTACAAGAAAGCACCCTCATACTCTACTGGGCTGGGCCAACTATATCCAACCATTCAGCAAAACAAAGGACGTTCAGAATCCTTTTTTCTAGCGAATCCTTGGAACCAATCACAAGTTTTTTCTTCATCTGCCAGGCCCTTTGAAAAGGCGCTAAGATCGACACTCCTGCCCTTTTCATCGCTACTTCCAGCCCGCCAAAACGGCTGCAGGCTTATAGTGATGTCGCACGTGCTTCAAGAACCAAGCAGCCACCTGAGGTGCGACAGCAGTCGATGGCAGGATGGGAGGATTTCCATGGAAGGGGTTTCATCCCCTTTGTGCCGGACAAACCCAGGGGACTACCCAGGGGGTTAAATGATCGACCACTGCAGTCAGGTGTGTCTGAAAATTTGAAAAAAGACACTGCAGTTTGAGTCGCTTCGGCCTCCAATCCAAATTTTTGCCGGAGGCATTGTTCAGTGAAAAGACACCGTAATCCAGAAATTGCCGTTTCAGGGGTTGCAAACATGGGCTCAAAATCCATGGACGGGGAAAGACGCCGTTTGGACACCTGAAGACGCCGTTTGGAAGCCTAACATGTCGTTTCTTTTTGGTTTCTGCCAGTTTCCGCTGGTCACCAAAAAAAAACACTGTCTTTGGGAAAACAACGCCATACCGGCATTGTCCCTTGACAGGGCAATTATTTGTGCCGTTTTGAAGATCCAGGTCCAGGTCTATAACAATTTTACATATTAGTGATTGTGCATGTGGAACCTTTGCGTTCAAGTAATTGCAAGTACAGGCGAACAATGGACAACAAGCTGGCAAATGTGTAAATTGAGCGCTGTTGTCTAATATGTTGATCATATCACAAGAGTCTCTGCCACCTACCACCCTACCGGTAGCCTTGTCGAGGGCCATTTGCGAATGGAAACTAAAAGTGTTGGATTTTACAGGGGAAACGCAACAACACAAAGAAAGCAACATATGTACGATAATTGACATGTTATTGGGTACAAATGACCCAAACATCCTGACAAAACATATGGCTTGGTCTTCCACATTCCAACATGGGTCTCTTTCAGTTGCCGTTCAATGAGGTCTATGGTTGCTCTCTCTCGCACTGCCCAACCTTGGCAGCATAGTCCTTTCCCAAAAAGGAGGCCAGCTCAGTTTCCACTTCCAAGGGTGGCTTCCTTGCCACCAGCATGCACACCGTGAACTCCGAGAGCATGTCACAGGTGCTTTGGTCGCTGGGCAAGCCATCCTGAGTGATTTAACGCTTGACCCGCGTAGAGGAACACGTCCAACCCACTTCTTGAGAAGTTCAACTCAATACGGTACGTCAATGACCCAGAAAGAATCAGCTATTGATTGCTATAGTTAATGGTATATATATTATATATATATAACATACTTAGATTTCAGCCCCAAAATAGCAGCTCATATCCCAGCCAGGCATCCAACTTCTGCAGCTTCCTCCCCACTTCTGCTTGAAGCTTCTTCTGCTCCTCCTCGGATAAGACCGGTGTCTGTGCCACCGGCACCTCCTTGGGAGCCTCCGGTGGCTTCTCCTTCCGTCGCCTCCGGTGCCCC